CAACAGTGGGAGGGCTTCTAGTGTCCTGGCCCCACTGCTGGACGTCCTGATGGCACCTGGTATTTCTGGCCACTGGGTGACACAGAGTGTTGGACTGGATGGGCCGTTGGCCTGATCTAATGCTGGCTTCTCTTATGGTCTTATGTCTGGGGCAAGGGATGCTCTGTCTTCTTGGTGCTTTGGGGGGGGGCAAGAGTGGGAGGGCTTCTGGTGTCCTGGCCCCACTGCTGGATCTCCTGATGGCACCTGGTACTTTTGGCCACTGTGTGACACAGAGTGTTGGATTGGATGGGCTACTGGCCTGATCCAACATTGGCTTCTCTTATGTTCTCTTACGTTCTTAGGTGGGAGGATGATGAGGGGGTTGAATTTGAGGACTGGTGAGGGATGGTTGTGGTTTTGTAAAGTTGCTCATGAATGCCATGGAATTATGGTCAGGGACCGGCCTACCCCCGTATGTTCCCCAGAGAGCACTGCGATCAGGATCCCAAAACCGCCTGGACCTCCCTGGCCCTAAGGAAGTCAGGTTGATGGTAACCAGGACGAGGGCTTTTTCGTTTGCAGCTCCGTCCTACTGGAATGAGCTCCCTGCCGAGATCAGGGCCCTGCGTGACCCGTCACAGTTCCGCAGGGCCGTGAAAACAGAACTTTTCAGGCAGGCGTTCCGATAGGAGCGACGTCTTACCAGCAGCGCCCCATGGCGAACTCCGATCCTATACGAGCTAATGCGGCGGTACCGCCGAATGTGTCCCTAAATTGCACTTTAGTTTTATCGCCATCTAATGAATGTTTTATATTGACTGGTTGTGTTTTAACAGATGTTTTATATTTTATTGTGAATGTCTACTGCTCGTTCTTAGGTGGGATGAGGGGGTGAGAATTTGAGGACTGGTAAGGGATGGTTGTGGTTTTGTAAAGTTGCTTGTGAATGGCATGGAACTGGCAAGGCAATGGTGTAAGAGGAAGAGAGAGCGAGAGTGAAGCCTTCGCACCATCTTCTATCTGACAGCCCTTCAGGTACTTGAAGACAGTTATCACATCACCCCTCAGTCGTCTCCTCTCCAGGCCAAACATACCCAGCTCCTTCAACCTTTCCTCATAGGACTTGGTCTCCTCTGAGAGAGAGTGCCCCCGAGACAAAGCTATTCCTTTCCATTTTGAGTTGTCAACAGTGTTCCCTCTAAGCTGAGTTAGTGTGAGCCAGCTCACCATTTTTTAGCCTCCGGCTCACGCATTTTTGTCTTCGCTCAGGGAGGACGGCTCCAGAGCAAACGAATCTATGCAGTAGCCAAATCGCTCGCTCACAACTTTAATGCTGGTAGACCACAAAGTAGAATTTTTTGCTCACAGGACTCCAGAGCTTAGAGGGAGCATTGGTTGCCAACTCCAGCTGGTGAAATTTCTGGAGATTTGTGGTCCGTGACTGTTGAGGGGGGAATTCAGGGACAGATTTCATCTAGTATTGTACACAACAGAGTCTGTTCTCTGAAGCCGCCATTTACCCCAGGAGATCAGTTGTAATTCCAGAACTCCAGGCCCTGTTTGGAGTTTGGCAATCCTATCAATTCCGCTGAAGGCAAGCAGCAGTAAAGTGGCGTTGGATGGGAAGGTGCAGCCATCTATCTTCTCTTTACTTTTCTAGATTTTATTTTATTTTTAATTACCTTTTTCGTTCTGAAATTTTCCGGTGCGGCGTAAGGCTTGTCTGTCCTTGCCCATGTGTATTTACTTCCCAACCTCATTATCTTTAATGCTTTCCGCTGAAGGCATTCCTCGCTAAGAGTGGCTAATTCTCGCGCTAATACTTGTGGATCTTGGGCTTAACGTGAACATATGCTCCGCCAAAGGAGCCCCTCTGAGCAGCTGTTGCAAAATAGCAAGAGAGGAGTCAAGCGTTTAATTAAAAACCTTAAAGAGATTTTTCGCCACGAGGGGGGGGCGCGTGTCTCCCTCCTCACCTTTCGGAGTTAATGGAAGGAAGTGAAATAAATGCAGAGATGGAATGAAGAAGAAGAGATTGGATTTATCCCCCGCCCTTTACTACCCAAAGGTGTCTCAGAGCGGCTTACAAACTCCTTCCCCTCCCCACAACAGACACCCTGGGAGGCAGGTGGTGCTGAGAGAGCTCTGACAGAAACTGCTCTTTTTTCAAGAACAGCACTTTTCAGAACTATGGCTTGCCCAAGGCCATTCAGCCAGGTGCAAGTAGAGGAGTGGGGAATCAAACCCAGTTCTCCCAGATTAGAGTCCGCGCACTTAACCACTACACCAAACTGGCTGTTGGAATAGTTTGCAACTCTGCGTATCGCCATAAGGAGCAGAATTGGTGAGGACCTGTGTACGAAGAGAGAGAAAAACAGGAGCTTGAAAGATTGATGAAAGAAGACGATTCTCTGATGTGAATGCATGACTCTGCTTCAAATGCAAAAATGGCCCAAGTCTGGTCCCCAGTCTCTCCACTTTAAAGGCTCTAGAGTTGCAGGACTGGGAAATGCCTGGAGCAGTAGAGTCCTCAGTGGTAGGTAGCACTGTTCCCTCTAAGCTGAGTTAGTGTGAGCTAGCTCACTGTTTTTTAGCCTTCCGCTCACACATTTTCGTTTTAGGTCAGGAAGGATGGCTCCAGAGCAAACTAATTTCTGCAGGAGCCAAAGTACTTGCTCACAACTTTATTGCCAGTAGCTCACAATGTAGAATTTTTGCTCACAAGTCTCCACAGCTTAGAGGGAACATTGACCAGGGTATCCCAGAGTAGAGTAGACCAGGGTATCCCAGAATACAGGCAGAGTAAAGCAACAGAGCCAGGACACAGAGCTAGATCACAGTGAAGAGTCCAGTCCAGGGGTCAAATACCAGTTTAGCGGCAGTCAGAGTTTATGGGTTGTTCAGGAAACTAGAGTCCATTTGCATATGCCACCCACCCTGACATCACTGGAAGTTTGTCAGAAGGCACCCACCGCACAGGCGCCACTGGACTGTTTTGGATTGCTAGCTATTGGGGGGGGGGGAACGTGCAGATCTGTCCTTGCAGAGGAGCGAGCGCTTGTACCTGAATAAAACTTGGCCTTTAAGGTGCCACTGGACTGTTTTGGACCTGGGAGAGCTCTGCAGTTTATCTGGCTGCTTCTTGCTCTGACTGAGAGCTGCTGGGAGCAGGGGGTGGGGCTTG